TATGTGCTAAAATGTCTAATAAATGGACTGATAATATATCTTTCTTCACCACTTTCTTTCTTGAATACAGCAAATGAACATTTGGAATGAATTTTTTGTATTGGGAGAAACTGAGATGGCCCCACAGGTATGGTGTTCTTATTTGTAACCATAAGTGGATTGAAATCGGTAAAGATTGTGTCACGAACAGGTACATACCATGTCACACATGCAAATATATACTCAAAATACTTCCCATTYAAYATCAATGAATGTGAGAAATAATAATCAACTGTTCCAAATGATATACGGAAATTTTCGAGTATGTTTCCATCGTCTTGTGGCCAGGATGCAACAATTCCTGTTGAACGTTGACTCCTGTATTCCTGTTTAGATCCATATTCTACGTCATATATATTCATGCTACCATATGTCTTTATAGTCCTGCTGAGATGACTAAAAAGTATTTCCTCGTCTGGTAACATGTGTTTATAGACGTTTAATAACATTTCCACACCTTCTTCATCAAAACAGATTTGCGCATGCTTTGAAGGAAGTTTGACAGCAGAAATATTGGACCAATCAATATTTCTTAACGGCATAGCAGAAGCGATTTTATAATACTGCAAGAGTGTTGRAAATGGCTGACACAGTTTGTTTACTTCATTTCTAGATATTTCGTTCATGTCTGTTATTATATTTTTAAACGGCGTAGAAAATTCACTTGGCAATGATGCGTTGTCGAGGAAGCGGGATGTTGTTAGTTTTCTCATCAGCTGTAATTCAATGGATCTATTGTTTGATACAACTTTTCCAAGAATGCCATTGTATCGTTCAAAACTGAAACACCAAAAGCTATGAATTGGCCCATAATCCTTTATAACTTCCCTTAGATGACAATGAAGGTGCATATTTGGTGTTATAGATTTGTTGCCATACAGTAATTGGAATTCATTGCAAAATTTCAGGAGAAGTCCATCTGCTTTTATTATATCTGCATCATTTAGAACTGGACTGCATATATATCGACATGCCAGAGTAAAGGTTTGCCAGCATTTTAAGTGTTTGTCGTCAATTATCCCTTTTAAACAAAATAGTGAGTACAACAGAGTCCAATTCTTCCACTGCTCAGCAGTATATGAGCCGTAATTAGATGATATTTTTTTAGGGAGTCTTCCAAYATTTGGTGGAACATCCATTCTTTCAATGCGTTCCTCCACTTTTCTTAGTTGGTTTTTAGAGAGATGTCCTTCAGTGACCCAGAGTTTAAATACATACTTTGCTGTTCCGAGAAATAGATTATGCATTGGGTCAATTGCGCAAAACCGAATCACGTCAAAATATTCGAGATCCAACAATAAAGAATAAAAGTTAACACCAAATTTCTTACCCAGGTCTTTCGCTGCAGCTTTTGTTTTGCATTTCTTTATTTTATGTGCAACCGCTCTGTGGTCCTTGTTTGTGCGTTTTTCCCAACGATCGCGTTGAAAGCCGGAATAGTCTCTCTTATCTCCAAATTTCCCTTGGAACTTTTTCAGACATCTTGAGCATCCTAACTCCGCGGAGTGTCCTTTCAGTCCACATAATTTGCGGGATGCTGGTATGTCGGAAGAAGTACAAAGAACCGCRGCCCTAAAAGTTAATCTTATCCCTCTGGTGAGGCTGTTTTTCAGGGGAATACCAATCCACAAAGACTTGAGCTCAGCAACTGCTTGTTTTAAGAATTCATTGAGGCACTTAGACTCTTTACCCATAKAGGGAATAATGCCAACGACAATAACATTCTCCCATTTAAAACGCTCCGCACGTGGCAGATTTAGCACTACCAAATATAGCACACCAACCGAATAATCTTTTCTATGTTTCATTGGCTGAAAATAGTCAAAGTTAAGCATCAGACCATAGTTTCTTGGTGCATCTAGGAAATCCTTTCCCTTGTATTTTTTAAAGTCATGCCATAAATCTCCATCATAAATGTCACTCATACAGTCCATTGTTCCGCGTGACCTCCATTCTTCACATTTTTCAGGAAATCCGTCTTTCTGTAACAGCATTTCCAGGGAATTTATAATACCGTTATAACAATAATAATACAATGGATAAAATTTGACCGATTTGTCTTTCAAGATAACTTTCCGTACTAGCTGACTGTTACAAGTTACTTTTTTACCTCTGGAATAATGGCTATTGTCGCATACTTTAGCTGTTAACATACCATTGACTTCAGCTACACATTCGTCATAGCTGTAGCATTTTGTGCACTTAGGACAAACCACATATTTTGTAAAGTTATCTCTGTCTACAGTTAAGAACTTCCTTATCATGTACAAAGAACAAGGGAAAAGCTTAATCACTTCTGCAAGCAGCTCATTTGATACTTCAACATTTAGCACTTTTAGGAATTGAAGAAGAAATTGTAGTAACCATGTAAGACCGTTGTCACTGAGATGAGTTAGGCTCTGCCAGAACAAAAGAAAATATAACATCCAGTGTAAAAGAGACTGCGCCTTGTGATACCTCGCTTTCTTATTCTTTGAGTCTGGTAAAGAAGGAGGTTTTTCTAAATCTTGCTGTATGAAATCTGGTGCATCATCCCACATTTCCTCTTGAAGTTCCGCCCTAGAAGACTGTATTTCATCATCACTGTCATCATCGGAACAACTAGATCCGCCAACATCGCTATCAATGATTGATTCAT